TCTAAATGCAATCTTTTGACTTAAAACCACAGGTCCCCTGAAAGATCTCTAAGGGTTTTTCTCCCACCTTGAAAAAGAGAAATTTCAACTAATTGGGTTTTCTTGGTATGTTAAATTTCATGGGAAGTATTGTCAAGTAAGAAATGATCATAAAGTTTCTTAGGTTATATGTGCATGGATATATGTTACTATACACATATTTCAGAAATTGCATGGACTTCATAGAAATTAGCCAGTACCCTCACTGTCTCACTATCTTAAAATGTTATATGGTACAGAAATAACTAATTTTCCTTATCAAATGAACTCACATCAGAACTTAACCATGACCATTTAAAATCATTTGTCATTCATAGACAGTAGTTGACTTTGATTCTCCTCTGAAAGTGTTTACAATCAACTACAGGCAAGAATGGTCCATAATGAAAGCACTGGAATATCTTTGAGACCATGCCTGTGGACTAAGAATTTCCAGAAAGAATGAAGAAGCTGATGAATTCATAAAACTACCAACCCAGAAAAAAGCAGAACAAAAATTAATTTCATGGGGTTGAATGATTTCATGGAGTGTATGATTATAATTTTTGATAAATTTGTTTGAAATAATATTGGTTATTAATGTTTCCTTTCAAGATTTAAGGAAAGCTTTTTCTCTTAAGCTATGTATAACATACAGAAATTTGGTAAAGAAGTTCTTTGTGAACAAGATGCAACAATTACTTTTTCTTCATATCTGACCTTCTACAATCTGAAAACTCTTAGTGAGCATTTTGTGTGTGTGTGTAAGGAAGATTGGCCCTGAGCTAACATCCATTGGAAATCTTCCTCTTTTTGCTTGAGGAAGATTGTCACTGAGCTAACATCTGAGCCAATCTTCCTCTATTTTATGTGGGATGCTGCCACAGCATGGCTTGACAAGTTGTGCTAGGTCCATGCCCAGGAGGCAAATCTGTGAACCCTGGGTCGCCAAAGGGGAGCATGCAAAATTAATCACTACACCACTGAGCCAGCTCCAGTATTTTTATTCTTATGGTGACATAACTATTTGCAAAAGATCAATCTCTTTTCCTTGTAAGAGGCACAATTAGAAACAGCGGTTATAATATGAAGACTTTGACTGGCATGTCACATTTGAAAATGATATGCATTTAATCACATATGACTGAACAGCTTTAAGGACTTGGTTGACGTTAAGAAGCCAATGCTTAAAAAGCCCACTTTGGAAAAATCGGCCTGAACTTGGCTAGTATGTTTCAAAATTTACAGGTGAGCAACTATGGCCACATCCTGGGAGACCCAAGAAACAAGATCTTTAGGGGAAGAAGAGAATATCGAATTCAATCAAATCTGTAGGTATTTCACGTGAATCTGTAGGCAAGTTCTGGGCTTAACTTCCCAGCTTCAAGAGGCTTGAAAAGTCTAATCTGAGATCTGTTAAAAAAAGTTCCAGAAAAGCACACTCAAGAGAACTATGTGGTCAATCAATATTCTTCGGCACTTATGTAAATAATCAGGCCAAATTTAATGAGACCTAAGTATTTTGGAATCAAATTTTTCTGACTCTGATTCTCTCAGACAGAGCAAGTGGTGACTATAGAAAGAAAAATAATATTTCAATGGAAAACTTAATATACATTTGTGGATTCAGTTGTGCACATTTTGCCAGTCCTTGACAAGTACTGAATTCTTCTAGTTTCCTCCCTTTTCTGGTTACATATCTCCAAATTAACATTTGTAACTTTTCCCTCTTCTGTCTTGGAATTATTGAGAAATAAAACTCCTTTTAAGAAGCCCTACAAGCTGAAGCCAGGTAACATACAAATTCAAGAAAATCACCAGAACAGATTATGTTTGGGTAAACTTCATGCCTGCTACTGGATCGACCATTCAGAAAGTTCAACGAACTTGAAGCCATTACCACAGATAATCATTGCAAACCAGCAATACCATGTATTGCCCTTGCTGTCCTCACTCTATCATTTCATGGTGCTTTTAGGGAATGGCCCCATGGCCGAGTGGTTGGGTTCGCGCACACACTCTGCTTTGGCAGCCCAGGTTTTTGCCAGTTTGAATCCTGGGGGCAGACATAGCACTGCTTGTCAAGCCATGCTGAGGTGGTATCCCATATGCCACAACTAGAAGGACCCACAACTAAAAATACACAACTGTGTACCAGGGGGCTTTAGGGAGAAAAAGGAAAAATAAAATCCTAAAAAAAAATAATAATAATGCTTTTACTCATCATCTACAAATTTTCTTGACTCTCTTCACTCTGGAATCCAAAAATGGGTTTTTAATTTTTCTTTGTTTTTCTTTATGTTCATAGAAATTTGCCCACATTAGATGCTTGACTCCAAGCACCACACAGCAGTCCCTCTACTACCAAATCTCAACAGATGATTTCACTGGTCCTTAATGAACAAAAGGCAATCAGACAAGAAATGGACATATATTCTTCCAAGGAAAGAAAATGTTTCACCTTTCCTTTGAACAAGAGGATTGTTTCACTAATCCTTTGACAAAGATTCTCTGCTCAGTCAAACTTTAGTTAGACTCCTGAACCTTTTCCTAAGTCTACCTGTGCACTTCCTTAGAAAATCCGTAGCAAGAACCCTGCAAAGTCAGTTTACTAAGAGTCCCTCATTATCCATATCTGATCATTCTCAATATCTATTTGGGTTTCTCATCCTCCACCATCCACCAGGTGATGTCTGATCAACCTGGTCTTTTTAAAGCAAGAATCCTGTTAGGTTAGTTTAACCAAAATATTCAACACATGATGTTTCTTCTCAGTAATTTTCCATTCATTGACCCCCACTAGATACATTGGCTATAAATTCCCACTTGCTCATGCAGTTTCAGAACTGACTGCAGTGCTATATTTAGACCTCTTTCCATATTGCAATAGTACTGAAAAGAATTGTTTTCCACTTTATATCATGCTATGCTATGGGGTTTTTTGGCCATCGTCAGAATCAAATGCTCCATCCAGCACAGTAACTTTATTTCTTACCTGTTGATTCAAAGGTATGAGGTGCCAAAAATGGACATCTGGCAGTCTTAACTTTCAATTTAGAGAAATGACTATTTTGTCCCCTGGCGGAAGCATTCCTTTCTCTGAAACTAATACATCTAGGTTGTCCCAGCATAAAGTCACAGGTAAAGAAAGCAAAAATGTTGCTATTGGGTCTCTAGGGATAATAGTGCGTGGTGCCACTCCAATTTACTCTCTTTGATTAACGGACCCATGAATTCTGGCTATTAGAAAAACAAGACAATGTATTGGTCTCTAATTCAGAGTATTAACAGCATCTCAGTGAATCTTGCCCTAGTCTGCAACATACTGCTAACTACTGGAACTACAACTGAGTCTTCAAAAGGCCCTTCCACTTTTCTACAAGCCAGATGTATCAGGACAAGGGGAAACATGGTAAAAAGCAGTGAATCCCATAAGCATGGGTCCATTGCCTCATTTATTTGGTTGTGAAGTGAGTTCTTTCCACAGTGAAGCAATGCTGTGTTGAATACCGTGACCGTGAATAAGATATTCTGTAAGTACACAGATGTGAGTTTTGGCAGAAGCTTTGAATGCAAAGAAGGCTAACACATACCCAGAGTAAATGTCTATTCCAGTATTGACAAAACACTGACTTCTTTATGATGAAAGTGGTCCAGTGTAATCTATCTGTCACTGGGTAGCTGCCTAAACACCTCAGGAACAGTGCTATCTCAGAGACTCAATGTTGCTGTTCAGTGCTGGTGGATTGGACACTGGTAACTGGTGATTGAGAGCCCCTAATGCTGGCATCATTCATAACTTTTTCCCTGCCACCATGGCCACTTCGTCATGAGCCTGTTGGGCAATGACAAGGTGTTTGGGTAAAGAGGTTGACTGGTATCCACAGATATGTCATCCTAACCACTTGATTATTGAAATTATCCTCTTCTGAGTTCAACCTTTGGTGAGCATTCATGTGGGTCACCAAAGTCTTCATGATTTTTGCCCAGTAAGATAAGTATATTCAAATACCTCTTTCCAAAAATTTATTATTGCTATCATTCCAATCATATTCCTTTCAAGTCCCTACAATCAAGCCAAACCATCAGCAACAGTACCTGAATTGATATATAATCAGAATCTGGCCATGTAAGTGAACAAGCATTCAGTCCCTATACACTCAGTAGCAAGCCTAGAACTGTTTCTCTGAAGAGACCCATGCAAATGTCTTAACATCAATTCTAGAGTAGTTTCTTTCTCAGCTCTGTAGGTCCAATCAGCATAAGATCATCAATGCATTGGACCAGTGTAATATCTTGTGGAAGTGAAATACTATCAAGGTCTCTGAAAACTACATTGTGACATAGGGACAGAGAGTTGATATATCCCTGAGGTATGACAGTGAAAGTATATTGCGGGTCATTCCAGGTGAGAGAAAATACTTCTGGTGGGCATTGTGTACTGGTATGAGGAAAAAGGCATTTTCTAGTTCAATAGCTGCATACCAGTATCCAGAGGATGTGTAATTTTTTTCAAGCAATAAAACCACATCCGGTACAGAAGCAGCAGTTAGAATCACCACTAAGTTAAGCTTGAGATATTCCACTGTCATTATCCAACATCTATCTGTCTTCTGCACAGGCCAAATAGAAGAGCTGGATGAGGACTGGTGGGAATTACCACCCCTGCATCTTCTGTCCTTGATGATGGCATGAATACCTGCAATCCCTCCAGGAATGTGGTATAGCTTGAATTACTATTTTCATAGGAGCAGGGAGTTCTAAGGGCTTCCATATAGATTTTTCCACAATAATAGCCCTCACACTCTGTGTCAAGGGATGAATGAGGGGATTCTGTCAGCTACTAAGTATCTCTATTCCAATTATACATTCTAGAACTCAATAAATAACCAAAGGATAAGTCCAGGGATTACTGAACCCACTGTGAGATGGAGCTACGCAAAAAAACACTGATTATATGACCCCTAAAAGTCCCTACTCACCTGGAGGCCTACATGGACTTTCTGAGTCTCCTGGAAACAGTGTCAGTTCAGTGCCAGTATCACAGTAGTCTCACAAAGGCCTGATTATTTCCTTTACTGTAATGTACAGTTATCCTCTTAAAATCTCATAGGTCCCCGTGCAGAAACCTGGGAGAAAGATTAACAGCATAAATTTTCAGTCATGTGCCAGGTCCTTCCTCAAGGGGACCTAGTTACTCCTTCCCTCAAGGGGTTCTGGATCTGTTAATTCTCTCAATCTAGAAATTGATTGAGGGGCGGGCCATGACTCTCTATTTTTATCATTCAAGTTAGACTTTTTTTCAGTTGTCCTAGAACTTTACTGCTCATACAGATCAAGTAAGAATTTAGTAGGATTCTCTTTCCATTATAGGAACACCATGACTAACGAACCAAGTCATAGGTTTGTGGAGTCAGACTATTCTGAATTCACCTTTGAATTTGCTGTCTGTTACACTAACTACACCTACTTTGTCTTTGGGGGATGAGCAAAACTATTTAGTGCCTGCAACCCTGGGATCTACTTACTGCCATTGCATTTAGATCGTCCAGTTGAGTGGCTGCAGTTTTACTGGAATGTCTGGCCTACAGAGCAGAGCAATCAAAAAGCCCTTCAAGAAGGCTAGGCTCTTTTCTCTAATTTATTTCTCAAAGTACTGGTAAATGGTGAGTCTTCTGGACCCTGCCAGTGTTTTATATATATGTACATATATTCTAACATTCCAATTCCCTAAGCTTTGAATCCCTTCTTCTATATTAAATGAAGGAAGATCAAGCATTGCCATTTCACCTAAGTTTTAGCCAATCAACCCAACAAACTGTTAGAATCCTTTGTATCTCTCTGGTCTGCATTAAATGCAGAATCCCTGCTTAATGCATCTACATCATTAAATTCAACTAATCCAACTTTATAACCCTTCCACTATTATCCCCCACCCTTAATATGCATTCCCATACAAATTCCCCCAGATTTCTGCTTGTATAAATTAGAAAACTCAGTTGGTTCTTTTGGACTGTAGCACATCTCCTCACAGGTCACACTTTGTACCTCACCTTTAGGGGCCTGCTGGGTGTTGAGTCTAGGCATAGGTGGGAACTGTTTCAAGGGAGGCCATTGCTGTTTAATAAGGCAATACAGTGTTAATGCCCTCAGATGGAGGTGGAAAAGCTGATACAACTGTGGATGTGGAGGTTCCTACCACTAGTAGAGAGGATACCACTGCCATTGAGGTTGCAGAGGCCATTTTTTTTCAGGGTAGGGAGGTCACTTCCCTGGGGGTGGGGAGACTACTGTCACTGGCAAAGAAGATTTATCAGAACTTACAGAATAAATGTCACCAGCTTCATCAGAACCTTCTCACACATTCTCATTCCTCATTACAGGAACCCATTTTTTCCCAATCAATGCCCTAACTTTAACATAAGACATACAAAGAGCATGACAACTTGCCTTGAAATTTAGCCAATTACAGTTTGATTTTCAGCAATTTCAGCCTGCCAGGAGATAAATCTCCCCCTCATCAAACCTAGAAGGTCTTACATCATTGATGCAAGCCTGAGCTAATAATTCAAATCTCTGTGCTCCTTCTTTTTTTCACCATTTTGTCCAGGGACATTAGAAGGAAATAACCAATCATTATATTCCTTAGTTTTCCCAAAAAAGTAAGAAAGTATATACAGAGTTACTTTGTTCCTTGCTTATCTCTATAATCACTTTACACCCTCAACTATCAGCACTCTGTTCTTACATGAAGCAGAGTCATTAGCATCTTTAAATTTAATCAGACTAGAGAGACAATTCCAGAAACACCAGAACAATACAGAAAACTCATTTTTAAAATTCTGTTCCTCTAGAACCATTCTCAGTAACAAAAGCTATATTAGACAGTATTCGCCTGAAAAACAGAACCAATAAGATAGATATACATGCATAGATAAAAAGGAGATTAACATAGGAAATGAGTCAGGCAGTTATGGAGGCCCAGAAGTCCCACTATCTGCCATCTGCAAGCTGGAGAACCAGGCAAACTTGATATAATTCAGTCCAACTCTGTGGCCTCAGAACCAGGGGAATTTATGGCCTAACTTCTAGTCTCAGCCAAAAGGCCTGAGAACAAAGGAGCCGTTGGTGTAATTCCTAGGGCCCAAAGCCTCTGAACCAGGGGAACTTATGTCTTAGGGCAGAGAAGAATGGACATCCAGATAAGGAAAGGTAATAGAAATTTACACTTCCTTTGATTTTTGATCTATTCAGGCTTTCTATTCAGAGTGGATGATGCCTGCCCACATTGGTGAGGGAGAACTATTTACTGTCTGCTGACTCCAATGCTAATAGACCCCCTCACAGACACACCCAAAAATAATGTTTTATCACCCATCTATAATTCTCTTAGTCCAGTCAAGTTGACACATAAAATTAACCCTCAAAAATCAACCCCTTGTCAACTTGACACCTATATGCATTGCTTTTAAATATACTCATTCTTCAAATAAAGATAATAACAAGGTTGTAATTCTGCCTAACATGATACATCTATGCTGCATACAATTTAAAACACACTAACTACTTCCCCAGAAGAGGAAGGAAATTTCTTAATTGATGTTTACTCTTCTTCTCTATATACAATAACAAACAATATGATGTACATTAACAATAATTAAATATATGATATAAAGTCAATGTATACATGTTGCATGATGACGGAATAACAAGGATAGAAAACAAAGATAGTTAAGATACGTTTTTATACACACAAATATATTCATAATAAAATAACAAGAAGATATTCATGGCAATTGCAGTCCTCTTTTCTGTAACTGGTCACAAGTTTGAAGCTGATATATATATGTACCTTATTCTACTACCCATTCTGCATTTCCTTTGCCTCAGCAATATCTTCATCTGGTTGTGGAACCAGAATGTTCATTCCTGAAGAGTCTGAGCCATTGCTAGTGTTGCTTGGATTACGTTGTTGTGATTTTCCATCGACCTTAATCTCAGGGCATGGTAATACTAAGACACATCCTAAGGGATATTCTGTATTCCACACATAATCTTCCTTGCCTCCAGTGTGGAGTTGTTGTCTAACTACTGGTAGTAACAAAGATTCTTGCTTCACTAAATATTAGCCAGGAGGAGCCTGGCTCCTGGCCCTTAGGAGAAACTTCTCCAAATACCATCTGTGCTCTTCCTTGTAAAAACTTTTACTAGAACATTGTTAAAAGTGTAGTAAGAAAGTCTCATCCTCCATGTCTGATCACTCTTACTAATCAGTTTTGTCCTCTTCCATCATAGATCAGATGATGTCTGATCAGCCTAGCCCTTCCTTAACAAGAATCATATTAGGCCAGTTTAGCCAGAATCCCCCTTACCCTTGATGTTTCCTCTCAGCAATTTTCCACCTGCTGAATGCCACCAGCCTCCTTGTTTAAAGTTCTCAATTGCCCATGCTGTATTCCCATTTCATCCTGGTAGTCTACTGAGGTATCTTTTTCCCTATTGCAACTGTCCTTAATAAAACCTGTTTTTACTGCCTTAACTAATGTCCATCTCTACTTTATTTTTGACAGTTACGGTGCTGCAACTCAGTACCAGATTCATCATTAGAACTGTGAAGCCTTCACCCAGGACCCTAAGTATGTACCTTTGAAGACTTTGGCTTCCTTCCTGATTGATCAGAGATCCACTGGTGAGCCTGACTCCTAAACCGCTGGTGAGACAAATGTCTCTTGTAGCAGGCAGTGACAGATTTTGATTCTTAAGATTTTGATTAAAATATAGAAGCTATATTAGAGTCCTAGACAATGAGAGGCTGAGATAGAGTACTTGTTTCTCTGTTTATAGGAAGCAGGGAGAAAATGTCAGGCCAGCACAAGCTGGGTTGGAGTACCAAACTTATTTGTTCATATGTGTAAAGATACCATGAGGTAAGAACATGGGAGCTGCTCAGTGGACTAAAAACCCTCTCCTTAAACCCCTGCTGAAAATGTGCTCTACCAACTTGTCTGCTTCCTTCTTATTAGCCAGATTTTACTAAGTATAATTTGGAACTCCAATGGCCTCTTGGGAAATTTATGGTCTTCCCAAACTGGCTACTTAAACCTCCATCTTCCCATGACCATTGCTCCTGCTTCCTCCTTTTACTACTTTGGATCTTCCCTCCAGTTCCCTTGAATCCTTTGATATTTCTCCCTTCAAACCTTTACTCCCTCCATCCCTGTGTCCACCCTGCCACTTTTGCCTTCTCGCTTCATTCCTCATCTCCCTACTGGCACTTGAACTTTAGGTCTCCTACATTCCACCAAGGTCTCTGAAGAGAAAAAAGAACTCCAAAGAGCAATGGACCAAGGCTAATAAGTGAACAAAAAGCTATTTGGAAATAGAACTGGATGTTTTGCCCACTCAGTTGGGTTTGGGAGAAATCCAGACAGTTGCTAAAAGTTTCCTCAGCCATTGGCCTTAAATGGAGTCCCAGCCTCCATCAGATTACATCATGGGCAAAAGAAAATCTTAAAAGTCTCCTCCACAAGTATTGGTAAACAGGTAGTATTAACTTGTCACATTTGACAGAAATACAATTCAGTCAAAAATATAAAGTAGAGATAACCAGTGATATTGTATTACAGTTTTACTGACTTAAGGCTAATGTTTTAGAATGAAAGCTCTAAGATGTCTGTTTTCATCCATCTGTATATTTATGTATATAAAAATATATGTACATTTGTTATGTATACATGAAATTTTTCTACATCTGGATATTACCAAATTAATTTATAAAATCCTTTACAGGACTTCTATTCAAACTGGCTTAGAGGTAAATAAGCAAATTAAGTATTTCTGAAACTCTCAGAAATAGAAATGAATCCAATTTTTAACATCCCTTTAACTGGAATAATATTTGATAATAAAGCTAGTTTTTTAAATTGTTGGTAAAATAAAAATAGACGTCTACAGAGATGTCAGCATTAAATGCAATGCATACATAAAATTTTTCTACCTAGTTTGGCAACCAAACAAGTTTGTGTTAACCTCTACTAGATGTTTAAGATTATAAAACTATAAATCCAACCTTATGGCAAAATATACAGTAAAAGTAAAGTGTTTGATATATGTCAAGTATAGTAGGGTG